CGCTCTCTAACCTGGGGATTCCCTGACCCTGAAACCTTCCTTCCACTCTCGTGAATGGGAGATACGCTTTTACAGGCGAACGCGCCGCTAAAGGTGCCTCCCACGAGCCCTCAACGTACCTAGCCAAAGAAGGCATGGCAGGAGCCACTGGCTCTGCCGCCTTCCTTGGCCTGGAATAAGGACCGCCCTCCATCATATCAACCTCCGGTGCGGAGGGAAGAGGGGGCAGCCTTATTACCAGCCGTTGAGCAGCTCTCTCAATGAGACCCGGAAAATCCGATCTCAGAGAGGCTGCAGCGAAAGAGAGAGCTTCTGATCTCTCAGAGCTCGTATCCCCTTCGCTATAGGGACTACAAGCCCTCTCGCTCTCCAAAGGAAAGGGGGGCTTGAAAGTATGAGGGATGGGGTCCGACTGTTCCATTGGAATGCCAGACCCCTCCTCAAAGTCCCTATCTTCCCCCGAGTCTGCGCCGTCGGACGACGCCTCTGAAGCAGAGGCTAGTATCGACAGCACATCCTCAAGGGGGATGTCCTCCCTGAAAAACGCCCAACGCTGCTTCCTCTCCTTTAAAGAAAGGAGGGCGCAGGAGGCGCAATTCGGGGGACTGCAGACGCCTTCCTTGGCATGCTGGGATCCCAAACACACGAAACATAGGTCGTGGTGGTCACCGGCCGCCATGGAAGTGCATCTGCACTGAGCTCTGAAAAGAGCTTTTGGGGGGTGGAAAATCTCCCGGTGTGCTCATTTAGACGACGTTGATGACTGGAATATCAACGGCGTTTTTTTCGTCCTGAGTCTTCGTGCTTCGTCTCTTCTTGGCTCTTCAGTCTAGTCATCCAGTCGCTGAAGAAAAAGGGAGGCTGATTGAGGGGAGGCATCCCCTCTTATAGGGACACCTGTACTCCTATTGGCTGTAGGTGTGTGCATAATTTTGTCTCAGGCTGCTGCTGCCTTAGGGCAGAGGGTAAACCACTAGAAGCAGAGCTCCCCTATGGGGCGGAGCTCCACGATATAGAACAAGTATTTGATACACTGCCGATTTTGCAGGTTTTCCTACTTACAAAGCATGTAGAGGTCTGTAATTTTTATCATAGGTACACTTCAACTGTGAGACGGAATCTAAAACAAAAATCCAGAAAATCACATTGTATGATTTTTAAGTAATTCATTTGCATTTTATTGCATGACATAAGTATTTGATCACCTACCAACCAGTAAGAATTCCGGCTCTCACAGACCTGTTAGTTTTTCTTTAAGAAGCCCTCCTGTTCTGCACTCATTTCCTGTATTAACTGCACCTGTTTGAACTCGTTATCTGTATAAAAGACACCTGTCCACACACTCAATCAAACAGACTCCAACCTCTCCACAATGGCCAAGACCAGAGAGCTGTGTAAGGACATCAGGGATAAAATTGTAGACCTGCACAAGGCTGGGATGGGCTACAGGACAATAGGCAAGCAGCTTGGTGAGAAGGCAACAACTGTTGGTGCAATTATTAGAAAATGGAAGAAGTTCAAGATGACGGTCAATCACCCTCGGTCTGGGGCTCCATGCAAGATCTCACCTCGTGGGGCATCAATGATCATGAGGAAGGTGAGGAATCAGCCCAGAACTACACGGCAGGACCTGGTCAATGACCTGAAGAGAGCTGGGACCACAGTCTCAAAGAAAACCATTAGTAACACACTACGCCGTCATGGATTAAAATCCTGCAGCGCACGCAAGGTCCCCCTGCTCAAGCCAGCGCATGTCCAGGCCCGTCTGATGTTTGCCAATGACCATCTGGATGATCCAGAGGAGGAATGGGAGAAGGTCAACCCCAAGAACACCATCCCAACCGTGAAGCATGGAGGTGGAAACATCATTCTTTGGGGATGCTTTTCTGCAATGGGGACAGGACGACTGCACCGTATTGAGGGGAGGATGGATGGGGCCATGTATCGTGAGATCTTGGCCAACAACCTCCTTCCCTCAGTAAGAGCATTGAAGATGGGTCGTGGCTGGGTCTTCCAGCATGACAACGACCCGAAAACACACAGCCAGGGCAACTAAGGAATGGCTCCGTAAGAAGCATCTCAAGGTCAAGGAGTGGCCTAGCCAGTCTCCAGACCTGAACCCAATAGAAAATCTTTGGAGGGAGCTGAAAGTCCGTATTGCCCAGCGACAGCCCCAAAACCTGAAGGATCTGGAGAAGGTCTGTATGGAGGAGTGGGACAAAATCCCTGCTGCAGTGTGTGCAAACCTGGTCAAGACCTACAGGAAACGTATGCTCTCTGTAATTGCAAACAAAGGTTTCTGTACCAAATATTAAGTTCTGCTTTTCTGATGTATCAAATACTTATATCATGCAATAAAATGCAAATGAATTACTTAAAAATCATACAATGTGATTTTCTGGATATTTGTTTTAGATTCCGTCTCTCACAGTTGAAGTGTACCTATGATAAAGATTACAGACCTCTACATGCTTTGTAAGTAGGAAAACCTGCAAAATCGGCAGTGTATCAAATACTTGTTCTCCCCACTGTATATAGGGCAGCAGCCTCTAAGGTTTAGGGTTGCGTAACCGGGTGGAAGGCGGCTAGTGATGGCTATTTAACAGTCTGGAGAGCCCTGCGGTTGCGGGCGGTGCAGTTGCCGTACCAGGCGGTGATACAGCACGACAGGATGCTCTCAATTGTGCATCTGTAAAAGTTTGTGAGGGTTTTAGGGGCCAAGCCAAATTTATTCAGCCTCCACACACTGTGTGGGTGGACCATTTCAGATCGTTAGTGATGTGTACACCGAGGAACTTTAAGCTTTCCACCTTCTCCACTGCAGTCCTGTCGATGTGGATAGGGGCATGCTTCCTCTGCTGTTTCCTGAAGTCCACGATCAGCTCCTTTGTTTTGTTGACGTTGAGTGAGAGGTAATTTTCCTGGCACCACTCTCCCAGGGCCCTCACCTCCTCCCTGTAGGCTGTCTCGTCATTGTTGGTAATCAGGCCTACTACTGTTGTGTCGTCTGCAAACTTAATGATTGAGTTGGAGGCGTGCGTGGCCACGCAGTCATGTGTTGTGACGTGACTTACTTTAATGTATGACTGTTATTTATCGAATCACCTAACTATGTTGAATTGTCAGTTGATTAAATTAATCATGTAACAATTAACTCATTAGGGGCACCACAGAATAAGTTGTTTAACAAGTTACCATCTCCTGAATTAAACTCTTAGAATATATATATATATATATATCAATAAGTCACTTATCAAAGAATCACCTCTTATCAGTCTCATTCTGAATGTTGCATAATCCTTGAACATGCAAGAACCCTTACCTTATTGATGAATCAGCAATAAACAAATTGGCTTAATTATTTATTTACTAACCAACTAAATAATAACACAATAAAAACACACGTAGGTTATTGATTACTAGCGTAATACAATGAAAACAGGTCCCTAGTGGACTGGACTAACATTAGCATGAATGCTTGGGTAGTGGAGGGGTCAGAATGGAAGGGAGAGAGAGATTCAAATTATCGTAGTTACTTTGGAAACTACGCTCACAGTAATCATAATACTTATGCACCCTAATAATCGCTCATTCGGAATAGAAATGCAACATGTATTTACGTGTTGCTGTCCTCGATAGTTGAGTTGATGATGTAGGACTCTGGTTATCCCACCAGAGATCTCAATGTCCTTCGTAGAGTTTCTGGTCGTAGTTGTGGTTAGAATGGATACTTCAGATGTACCAGCGGTTGTCTGAGAGGGATTGTCCTCTCCTCTCTCTTGTCTTTAGTGAAAGTTCTCTAGACCACTATACATGCCAGCAGCAGCCTGAAATGATAAGGTCTAGTGCATTGTCTTCTTCTTCACCTCATGTAGAGGTTGAGAGTTTCAGAGTTTCTCCATTTGCAACGTTTAGCTCACGCTTCAGGTCTGCAGGTCTTTTAGAGTGTCAACCATTTTAAGCCGTGGGGCTTACTGGTCTGGTAGAAATTTAACCATTTGCAACGTTATACTCATGCTTCACGTCTGCTGGTCTGAGGTGAATTTCGTCACAAGGCTTTTTATGCACTCGGGGTAAAAGGGGCATTCCATCATGTTTGTGCTCATCTGGGTGTGGCCACTGACTGAGAACAAATCATTGATTGCGAGGGTTAACACGCTTAAACGTCTTACTCACATCGGCCACTGCGACAATCAACATCCTGATCAACTCTATGCAAAGGAGATGTGTTAAGCTGCATGAGGCAAATGGTGGTCACACCAGAAACTTACTTTGTTTTATGATCCACGCCCCTACCTTTTTCTTATAAGGTGTCTGTGACCAACAGATGCATATCTGTATTCCCAGTCATGTGAAATCCATAGATTAGGGCCTCATGAATTTATTTCAATTGACTGATTTCCTTAAATGAACTGTAACTCAGTGAAATTGTTGCATGTTGTGTTAATATTTTTGTTCAGTATAGTTGCATCGACCGTGCTGTAGGCTGCCTACACCGTAGCCATGTGATAAGAAGCTCGGTTCAGAATCGAAAACAAGACCTGAGCAATGTTGTACACTTTTTTTCCTTCATAAAGAGCCTAACCTGAGGTCTATAACTTTGAACGTCCGAATGTCCGGCGAATATTGAATATCAAATCAACTTTTTACCACGGTAAAAAAACGATCTTTCTAAGCTACAATGAGTGCATATTGATAATGTTGCAAAAATGTTGACAATACAAGGTGAAGTTAGTTGAAACGTATTAAAGTAATTTTGTCCCAGGGCAGGCTCAAGTCATCATAGTCATGCCCCACCCGCGCGAACCCAGAGAACTGGCAGTCGTTGCCTGGTAACGGGACGCGTTTCCATGGAGTGTATGAATGAACAACATGAAGAGGGCTAGCTAGCTACTGGAGCTAGCCAGCTGTTAGCTGGCTAACAAATTAGGTGCAGACATTTTGGAAATTACAATCTTGTGTATTATAACTAAGCGCTTTTGACTAACAGGACAGGAAACATGGAGGTAAGTTGTGCTGGTTTGTATAGCTAGCTAGATAGCTAATGTTACGTTATGTTTTGCCAAAAGCAACAGGTGCTACCTCTGGGTAGTATTCATTAGTGGACACCGCAGCAAAACATTTAGCAAAGGATAACAAACACAAGCCTTTCTTGTTGGAAAACTTCAGTCCGTTTTCGCTCGTCTGGTTGGTGCCTAGTGAATAGTCAGTCACCTACTGTATTGTGACTGACGGTCCGTGGCGTTGGAGGAGATAGGGCTCTTCAGCACTGTACAGAAAGCTCCCAATCCGATTCAAACTCCATTCACCAGCGGCAGCTCTGCAAGCGTTCGGCCAATGTCAAAATACGTTCGTTGATCGCCAAATATAGAGCAACTATATTAATTTAAGGCCGGTATGTACTTCCAAAAAAAAGTTATAAATAAAACTTGGCAAACAATGACTATTCGGCACCTCCAATGACAGTACATACCGGCCGTAACGGGAGTAAATGAAGATAGATGCTCAGCGAAACTCCATATTTGGCGATCAACGACGAACGTCTTTTGACATTAAAACGCTTTCAGAGCTGGTGAATGAGCTTTCTGGGCGAGAGGTCTCTAACGCACAGATAGATACTGATCGGGGATTGCAGTATGTTAACGTTAACGTTCCAGAACTGTCAAAGTAATTTTTCTTCATGTCACTGCATTTCTATAGTAGGCCTATAGTAACTTGTGACAGTTATCAATCAATATATCTTTATTGTCACAATCGGGAAATGTGTAGTACAGTCAGGGCAAGAAACAAGATCAACTGCAACAGATACACATACGATGAATAGAAAACAGATCAGTTACAGTAGTTATTGCAGGAGTGAAACCATACAGAGCACATAAAGTGTCCCTTTCAGTACCTTGCAATTAGCTTACTCTCTCAGATTTGACAAGTGCTTGATTACAGTTTATGTGTCCTTTCCCAGGATAAAGGTCAGAAGCCAGAAGCAGATGAGAACAGTTTTGAATCACTGGAGAAGGAGTTCCAGGAGGTTCTCAATGAGCTGGTGGGAGACAAGAGCCTGGACAAATTCCGGGTTGAATATGAGAAACTGACCAATGCCCTGAAGAAGTCCCATGAGAGTGAGAAGAGGCTGATGACAAAATGCAGGGAGCTGAATGCAGAGATAGTGTCCAATTCAGTAAAAGTTGCTACTGCACTGAAGTTGTCCCAGGAAGATCAAACGACTATAACTTCTCTGAAGAAGGTAGGCCCTTCATGGTGAAAACATGAGTAGCTGCATAGATGTTTAATAAGCCTACAGCCTAAGGTTAGGGTGAAGGTTGTCATTAGTGTTGGCAATAAGCGCATGTAGGGTATTATGCAGTACACATATTCACACTCTTCATTTTGAGCAGAATAGAGCATTGTTTTAGAATTGTGCCTTATTTCAACATGTCCCAGATTTGTCATAGTAATATGGCCATACAAAAGTGTATTGAACACTTTTTTTTCTTCTTTTAGGAAATAGAAAAGGCTTGGAAAATGGTTGATGCAGCCCACGATAAAGAGCTCAGAGCAAAAGAGACAATTCAAACATTGAAACATGAAATTTCAAATCTAACAAAACTTGTTGAACAAGGAGCTGGTTTGTCTGTGGGTCAAGAACATGGGTGAGTTGAGTTGTGCACACTCGCACTGTACATTGTCCACTTCCTTTGAATTGACCAATTCACTAGAGATTATTGTCATACCTGAAGACCTACATACAGTGCTTAATTTGAACAGGATCCGGCACCTCTCAGTTTTGGACTGCTGCGTTCTGGCACATATTTTCCTGGATCCGGTACCTCGTGGCATGACATATAATTTCCTCTGTTTGCATAAAAAATATATATATATCCTAGTTAGGCTATATCAAGTTGCCTCCTCGTTAATTCTCCTGCCCCCTAAAAAACGTTATGTAAAAATGTAGATTTTCAGCCTGCACTTGATATTCTGAGAATTTATTCGGGTTGGGCTGGGTCCGGGTTTAAGTTTGCGCCACATTGTAGCCTATATTTTGAGACCAACCCTTGGCCATTGCTGTGGTGAGAGAGAGAAGCATGCGCCTGTAGCCTATCTCTCACAGAACCACAATGAGATTATACTTCTCTCTCAATCTCTCTCTGCTCTGATAGACATGAGCCTGCAACTCTCTCTCCATCTCTCCAGCATTGCACTTCATCATCAAAATATAAAATAGGCAGTAATGTAACTATTCCAATTCAAATACAAATTCACTATAATGAATCTGTAGGCGAACTACACTGTTTTACAAAGTATCTTAAGAGATAATGGCACGAGCGCATCGGCCATTACTGGTGAGTGCACATTCACTAGCCTATCTTCGTTTTTATTGATCTCAGTTTGTCAATGTCAGAGTACCCTGTCATAAGTCGCTCTGGATAAGAGTGTCTGCTAAATGACTAAAATGTAAATGTAAATATCGGTAATTTGTGTGGTATAAAAAAAAAAGATGTAGAATTGCATGAAATGCGTTTATAAAAGGACATTTTTGTGTGCAAGTCCTAGAAACGCTTCTGCTCTAGGCTACTCTATGCCACTATGCAAATGCTTGATTTATTAAAAAGGTGAACCCCCCCCATTCATTTCAGTACTTCTGAGCCCCCCAGATCACCCCCTCTCATGCTCACTTTGAGTTTCGGCACGTCCCGATTTATAGGCTACAGATCCGACTTTTACTGGACCTTTCTTCCCAATGACTAAAGATCCCGAAGCTCCTACGCATGTGCAGGAATGTCACGCCCTGGCTCTAGGGACTCTTTTATGTTGAGCCAGGGTGTGTAGAGTCTATGTTTTGTGTTCATTGTTTCAGTATCTAGTTCATGTGTTTCTGTGTTGGCCGGGGTGGAGAATCAGCTGTTGCTTGTTGTCTCTGATTGGGAACCATACTTAGGCAGCCGTTTGGCAGTTGTGTTTTGTGGGATCTTGTTCCGTGTTGGTTTGTGTTTGTTACCAAGGACTTCACGTATCGTTTTGTTGTTTTTGTTCGTGTGGTGAATATAAATAAAGTATGTTCGCATTCCACGCTGCGCCTTGGTCCGCTCCTTTCATCGATCGTGACAAGGAATCTCTATTTACACACAGTCTCTTCTCTACTCGTAGAGAACAGGCTACTCAGGCGAATGGTGCTCGTTTGATAAAGTTAGATCAAAACTGAATCAATATCTACAAGATCACATAATGATAGTATTCTACATAACATAACCAAATATAATAGCATAGTATAAAGTTACTGTAAGTGATTTTAGGATGATTGTGCGAATGGTCGCATTTCTCTCTTATACGGCCACAGCTCAACTGCGCGCGCCACTAGGCAAAACATGTGCTTTGATTGAAACAAAACACAGGTTCTCTCACTGTACAAAATTCGAAACAACCCTGTACATAACTAAGAAGATCTAAATGCATATTCCCATGAAACTGATCGACATCAAATGGTTGGCATGTAGATGCTGCATGGACGTTTCACCGGTAAAACTTGAAGAATTATCATTAATGATTGGCAATGAGAAATGTGAAGGGAGGGTGACCACAAAAATGTGTTCGTAAAGTAGAGGTAAAGAAACACATGCGCAGAACATGATATGGATCTTTCCAGCGGGATCCAGGGTGACGGGAAGGGGCGGATACCTACGGATCAGCAGCCTCAGCCTACAAATTAAGCACTGCCTACATCTCTAAATAAAGATAACATTAGAGAAGTTTTAACTGAAAGCTCATTTGTTTTTCAGTGTGAACGATCTGCTGAAAATCAAAGAGGAACTAACCAAGGAAAGAGATGAACTGCTTACGGAAGTGGTGACTCTGCGAAATAATCTAACAAAGGCCACCGCCAGTCAACAAGAGATGGAGGTTAAAAAAGAAAAGGCAATGGAAACCATATCTCAGGTAATGGAGACACTCAACATCACCATTTGCATTTATAGGTGTTTATTGTTAATCAACTTAATGACAACAAATTGAACAAGTATAAACCAAAAAAAACGTGTTCTTGGTTGAACAGAGAACTCAATAGGATTTTTTTTAAATGTAGCATTACATCTTAAACATCACATTTAAAAAAAAATATTGCGCATTTGCTTTAACGTCACTTAACTGGCAGGTAGGGCATTAGTTATTAGGTAGGTATTATGGCCATACACTTGGTAGTGATCTGGAACCTGACTCTGTAATTGTTGATCATTTCAGTCCTCATTCCCATTCAGTTGCAAATACACCAGTACGCTTTATTTGCTGGACAGTGTGTCCACAAGTCTTGGCACATCCAGTTATAAATTGACTGGGGCCTTAGCATATAGTAAGTACACTCCAGTGCCCACTACCTCCTGGAATACTTGCTACTAACGACATCGTTTTGATCCTGTATCCTGTCCACCACAGCTCCAGCAAGACATCCAAGTCCGTCAGAACGAGTGCTCGCGGGAGACACGGCGGAAGGAGAAGCTGGAGAAGGAAGTGAAGCAGCTACACACGGACCTGGACGCCAAGCAGTCGGACATCAAAGTGCTGAACCTGCAGAGCCAGCGCAGCAAAGAGGAGCAGCAGAGGCTGGAGCAGCAGCTGCGGGAGCAGAAGGTGAGGCCGTGACCAGGGGGGATGACGTTACACCCTCCCTGTCCACCGGTCCTCTCCCTTCCCGTTCATCCTCCAATCTTTTCACAGATGAGCACCAACTTGAGAGACGGTGCCAGTCGTACACACATGGAATACAACTTTTACATGTATGCTGTAGGGGGTTTAGATTTAAAGTGGGATTTGATTTGTGCCGTTTGTCCCAACGCAGATTCTCAATGAGCGGGCCACAAAGGAGCTGGAGCAACTGCAAGTGAGAAACACCAAACTCCAGCAGGAGAATGAACAGAATGCCCTGAGTATGGAGCAGCTCTCCCTCGACACTCAACAAAGGGCATCTGACCTAAAGGTATGCGTGTGCATGTGTGCGTGTGCGTGTGCGCGCGCGTGTGTGTGAGAAGCTCCACAGGTGACAGACATCCATAGAGAGCCCTCACAAAGTGCTGCCTACTGTTGATCGAAACATCATGCCAGTAAAACCTTATTTTAATCATGGGACCACATGGTTGTTTTTTGGCTGTTTTTCGCAAACCATTGCATGTCAGCGCATATGGGCCCATATTCACAAAGTGTGGCAAAGTAGGAGTGCTTATCTAGAATCAGTGTTGCCTTTTCAATCGTAATCAAATCAAATCAAATTTCTTGGACAGGGAGAGAGAGAAGGGAGGGAAAAATGAAGAAACAATCTTATCCCAAACCACTGCAAACTTGTCTTTCCTCAAACAAATCCTGTTGAGAATGGAGTGGCCTCTTCCTGAACTGTTATCAGAGAGACAACGAAAATTGGACAGGAGCCCTAATGCCAGCAACACAATAAATACCTATTCTCTCTCGCTCTCCCTCCCTCTCTGACACCCCACCCCACTTTCTCTCGCTCTCCTTCCTCTTTCTCTTACTCCCTCCTTTTGTTCCCCCCTCCTCAGATGAAGGAGGAGGAGGTGAATCAGATGCGTCAGGAGATTGCCAAACTAACAAAGATGAGAGAGGCCACTCAGCGGAAGTTCCGACAGACGGAGGATCAGAAGTTGGAAGTGGAGCAGCAGAGGGACATGCTGAAAAACCAGATCGCTGGCCTGGAGAGAGGCAAGGATACACACACCCGCACATGCACACCCTATCTTGCACTGACTCTATGCACACTCACAAGACTATATACAGTGGGGAGAATAAGTATTTGATACACTGCCGATTTTGCAGGTTTTCCTACTTACAAAGCATGTAGAGGTCTGTAATTTCTATCATAGGTACACTTCAACTGTGAGAGACGGAATCTAAAACAAAAATCCAGAAAATCACATTGTATGATTTTTAAGTAAATCATTTGCATTTTATTGCATGACATAAGTATTTGATACATCAGAAAAGCAGAACTTAATATTTGGTACAGAAACCTTTGTTTGCAATTACAGAGATCATACGTTTCCTGTAGGTCTTGACCAGGTTTGCACACACTGCAGCAGGGATTTTGGCCCACTCCTCCATACAGATCTTCTTCAGATCCTTCAGGTTTCGGGGCTGTCGCTGGGCAATACGGACTTTCAGCTCCCTCCAAAGATTTTCTATTGGGTTCAGGTCTGGAGACTGGCTAGGCCACTCCAGGACCTTGAGATGCTTCTTACGGAGCCACTCCTTAGTTGCCCTGGCTGTGTGTTTCGGGTCGTTGTCATGCTGGAAGACCCAGCCACGACCCATCTTCAATGCTCTTACTGAGGGAAGGAGGTTGTTGGCCAAGATCTCGCGATACATGGCCCCATCCATCCTCCCCTCAATACGGTGCAGTCGTCCTGTCCCCTTTGCAGAAAAGCATCCCCAAAGAATGATGTTTCCACATCCATGCTTCACGGTTGGGATGGTGTTCTTAGGGTTGTACTCATCCTTCTTCTTCCTCCAAACACGGCGAGTGGAGTTTAGACCAAAAAGCTCTATTTTTGTCTCATCAGACCACATGACCTTCTCCCATTCCTCCTCTGGATCATCCAGATGGTCATTGGCAAACTTCAGACGGGCCTGGACATGCGCTGGCTTGAGCAGGGGGACCTTGCGTGCGCTGCAGGATTTTAATCCATGACGGCGTAGTGTGTTACTAATGGTTTCCTTTGAGACTGTGGTCCCAGCTCTCTTCAGGTCATTGACCAGGTCCTGCCGTGTAGTTCTGGGCTGATCCCTCACCTTCCTCATGATCATTGATGCCCCACGAGGTGAGATCTTGCATGGAGCCCCAGACCGAGGGTGATTGACCGTCATCTTGAACTTCTTCCATTTTCTAATAATTGCGCCAACAGTTGTTGCCTTCTCACCAAGCTGCTTGCCTATTGTCCTGTAGCCCATCCCAGCCTTGTGCAGGTCTACAATTGTATCCCTGATGTCCTTACACAGCTCTCTGGTCTTGGCCATTGTGGAGAGGTTGGAGTTTGTTTGATTGAGTGTGTGGACAGGTGTCTTTTATACAGGTAATGAGTTCAAACAGGTGCAGTTAATACAGGTAATGAGTGGAGAACAGGAGGGCTTCTTAAAGAAAAACTAACAGGTCTGTGAGAGCCGGAATTCTTACTGGTTGGTAGGTGATCAAATACTTATGTCATGCAATAAAATGCAAATTAATTACTTAAAAATCATACAATGTGATTTTCTGGATTTTTATATTCCGTCTCTCACAGTTGAAATGTACCTATGATAAAAATGACAGACCTCTACATGCTTTGTAGGTAGGAAAACCTGCAAAATCGGCAGTGTATCAAATACTTGTTCTCCCCACTGTACACACACTCACTCACACACACACTAACTACACTGACACTCTCACACTAAACCCACACACATTCACATGCACTACATGTGCACACACACACATAACACAGGCACACGCACATACATATACACACACGTACACACACTTTTACACTCATCATATGCTGCTGCTACTCTGTTCTTTGTTTTATTATTATATATCCTGATGCCTAGTCACTTTACCCTGCCTTCATGTACATATCTACCTCAAATACCTCGTACCCCTGCACATTGATCTGATGCTGGTACTTCCTGTATATAGCTCCATTCTTGTGTATTTTATTCCTCTTGTGTTACTATTTATTTTATTTTTTACTCTGCATCTTTGGGAAGGGCTCGTAAGCAAGCATTTCACGGTAAAGTCTACACCTGTTGTATTTGGCACGTGACAAATAAAATTTGATTTGATTTCAACATGCACACACACGCATAACTAAACAGACACGAATACACATGCCCGCACAAATGTACACTACCGTTCAAAAGTTTGGGGTCACTTAGAAATGTCCTTGTTTTTGAAAGAAAAGCATTTTTGTTGTCTATTAAAATAACATCAAATTGATCAGAAATACAGTGTAGACATTGTTAATGTTGTAAATGGCTATTGTAGCTGGAAACGGCTGATTTTTTATGGAATATCTACATAGGCGTACAGAGGCCCATTATCAGAAACCATCAGCCCTGTGTTCCAATGGCACGTTGTGTTTGCTAATCCAAGTTTATCATTTTAAAAGGCTAACTGATCATTAGAAAACCCTTTTGCAATTATGTTAGCACAGCTGAAAACTGTTGTGCTGATTAAAGAAGCAAATACCTAGGTGTCTGGTTAGACTGTAAACTATCCTTCCAGACTCACATTAAGCATCTCCAATCCAAAGTTAAATCTAGAATCGGCTTCCTATTTCGCAACAAAGCCTCCTTCACTAATGCTGCCAAACATGCCCTCGTTAAACTGACTATCCTACCGATCCTTGACTTCGGCGATGTAATTTACAAAATAGCCTCCAACACTCTACTCAGCAAATTGGATGTAGTCTATCACAGTGCCATCCGTTTTGTCACCAAAGCCCCATATACTACCCACCACTGTGACCTGTACACTCTTGTTGGCTGGTCCTCACTACATATTCGTCGCCAAACCCACTGGCTCCAGGTCATCTATAAATCACTGCTAGGCAAATCCCCGCCTTATCTTAGCTCATTGGTCACCATAGCAACACCCACCCGTAGTATGCACTCCAGCAGGTATATCTCAATGGTCATCCCCAAAGCCAACACTTCCTTTGGCCGCCATTCCTTCCAGTTCTCTGCTGCCAATGACTGGAACGAACTGCAAAAATCTCTGAAGCTGGAGACTCTTATCTCCCTCACTAACTTTAAGCATCAGTTGTCAGAGCACCTTACCGATCACTGCACCTGTACACGGCCCATCTGAAATTAGCCCACCCAACTACCTCATCCCCATATTGTTATTTATTTTGCTCATTTGCACCCCAGTATCTCTATTTGCACATCATCTCTTGCACATCTATCATTCCAGTGTTAATACTAAATTGTAATTATTTTGCACTATGGCCTATTTATTGCCTTACCTCCATAACTTGCTACATTTGCACACAATGTATATACATTTTCTGTTGTGTTTTTGACTTTATGTTTTGTTTACCCCATATGTAACTCTGTGTTGTTGTTTTTTATCGCACTGCTTTGCTTTATCTTTGCCAGGTTGCAGTTGTAAATGAGAACTTGTTCTCAACTGGTTTACCTGGTTAAATAAAGGTGAAATAAAAAAAATGGCCTTCTTGAGACTAGTTGAGTATCTGGAGCATCAGTAATTGTGGGTTCAATTACAGAATCAAAATGGCCAGAAACAAATAACTTTCTTCTGAAACTCGTCAGTCTATTCTTGTTCTGAGAAATGAAGGCTATTCCATGCGAGAAATTGCCAAGAAACTGAAGTTGCAAAGAAAAAGTCTAGTGTCTGTGTTCTTTTTCCCATCTTAATATTTTCTTTGCCACTCTGCCTAGGTCAGCATCCCGGAGTCGCCTCTTCACTGTTGACGTTGAGACTGGTGTTTTGCGGGTACTATTTAATGAAGCTGCCAGTTGAGGACCTGTGAGGCGTCTGTTTCTCAAACTAGACCCTCTAATGTATTTGTCCTCTTGCTCAGTTGTGCACCAGGGCATCCCACTCCTCTTTCTATGCTGGTTAGAGCCAGTTTGCGCTGTTCTGTGAAGGGAGTAGTACACAGCGTTGTACGAGATCTTCAGTTTGTTGGCAAGTTTTCGCATGGAATAGCCTTCATTTCTCAGAACAAGAATAGACTGACGAGTTTCAGAAGAAAGGGCTTTGTTTCTGGCCATTTTGATCCTGTAATCAAACCCACAATTGCTGATGCTCCAGATACTCAACTAGTCTCAAGAAGGCCAGTTTTATTGCTTCTTTAACCAGCACAAAAGTTTTCAGCTGTGCTAACATAATTGCAAAAGGGTTTTCTAATGATCAGTTAGCCTTTTAAAATGATAAACTTGGATTAGCAAATACAACGTGCCATTGGAACACAGGACTGATGGTTGCTGATAATGGGCCTCTGTATGCCTATGTAGATCTTCCATAAAAAATCAGCCGTTTCCAGCTACAATAGCCATTTACAACATTAACAATGTCTACACTGTATTTCTGATCAATTTGATGTTATTTTAATAGACAACAAAAATGCTTTTCTTTCAAAAACAAGGACATTTCTAAGTGACCCCAAACTTTTGAATGGTAGTGTATGCCGGGAGACACACAGAAATATCTTGGTTGACACTTAAACACTCCTCTGCTCTGTTCCACTCTTCACTGTCAAAAGCACTCTTTTTGACAGGAAGATGCCATTTTTCCTTATCTTTTAGTAACTCAGAAAATATTAAATGTAGTGGTTACATTGTGGTGGGGTTTGTGTGCAAGGTACATCAATTGTGTATACAGAATGTCTATCATTCTCTCTCACTCAAAAACAACATGAACATGAACCCCACCACATGAATGTTGTGAACAGAAATGGAGTCCTCCAAAAAGCAGATGGAGATTGACAAGAAAGGCATTGACGAACTGGTGCGGGAAAGAGACATCCTGAACAAGGTATGTATGTAGAGAATAATATAATTTAGCAGACACTTTTATCTAAAGCAACTTGCAGAACTGTCAACATTGACAGTGACACACATCCAGTATGTATCCCATGCAGAAATCAAACCGACAACCCCGGCATTGCCAGCACCTAATGCTACATGACATTATGTGTATAGCCTATGTTGTTTCGTTATTTGCGGGTCTTGTTTTGTATGATTTGTTTCATTAGACACCTCCTAATGTGACTAATGTGCACCAAACACACTCTCATCTGCTCACAACCACAATTGTGAAAGTGTGTGTTTGTGCATGTACATTTGTGTCTGTGTGTGTGTGTGTGTCTGTTTATTGGTTTGTTTTGTGTGTGTTTGCATGCACATTTGTGTGTGTACATTGTAGAACATGATCAAGGCAGCCAATGCCACGGAGAAGCAGCTGAATGTAGTGAAGCTCCATGAGCAGTCCAAGAAGAACCTGGACCAGGAGATCATGAACTACCGCGACGAGGCCCAGAAGCAGCGCAAGATCATCTACCAGCTAGAGAAGGAGCGTGACCGCTATATCAACGAGGCCAGCGACCTCACACACAAGGCAGGTCAAGGTGCACTAAGATAACTCAGGGATGGGGGGAGAGACCAGGGTCCTCATTTATAAATGCTGCGTATGTACAAAATATAACATTTCCCCTGCAAAACAAAACATGCACCAGTTTTCACTGCATTTATAAAAACTGAACTTGCCTGGAGAATGTGCTTACCTCCACGCAAAGTTCAGACCATGCAAACGCACTACTTCTTGTTACTTCTAGTAATTATTGCATTGCAAGCAGGCAAGTAAGTACTTTATGCAAATGAGGAATGGTTAGGATGACACGCTATTCATAAAACAGCAACAACAGGAAAACATAATGACAAAACAAATGCAGCTATTTGTCGTTAGGAAGAAGAGCGAACATCTATTTATTTTATCCTTGCAATCTAAAATTATAAATAGGAATTATTTAACCTTTATTTAGGCAGGGGAGACAAAACCAAGCAATTAAAAGCAGTTTTTCTTAAATCTGTGGTGACAAAAGGAGTTTCAAGATTTAGCCTTCCCTGTGAACGGGTATGGTATCTCGTACTTCTATAGGTTAGTAACGACAAAGACAGTACAGTATGAAGATAGGCAGAAACTGTTTCTCCAATAGAAATCCCAGATCACACTTGTAGGCGATGTCATGGCGACGTTGGCTAGTTAAGCTCATGCGTATAAACACGTTATCGGGTCGAACTGCGCATGTGCAGTCCATCAAATCAAAGGTACTCCTTCAATATAAACTTGTTTTTGACGAAAATGAAAATGTGTCAGTTTGTCACGTTCACGAGGTTGAAGTAGTAACATGTTCGTACTACTCTACGTCTGAATCATAAAATATAATCTCATTCTAGTTCTGTGGTTTGAATACTGTAATAAAAAAATTCTCGAGTAGACACTGTTTCAGAATTAAGGACAGTGCAGCATATTTAGGTTGCGGGAAAAAGTCCATGCAAAACATTGTTGAATTAAAATGTTCTGCTAACAGGTCCACAACAATTTGTCATGGTTTATTTATTTCAGAAACTGTCACAGTCCTTTGCCCAATACAGCAAATGTCACAGCAGAAGATTAAAACATTGTGGCAACATCTCCAAAACATTTGATAAAATGTGCCATTGCTTTTGTTTGGTGAAACTGTAATGGCTTAATTTCAATATACTTATTATGTGGTCCTCTGTAGCTCAGCTGGTAGAGCACGGCGCTTGTAACGCCAAGGTAGTGGGTTCGATCCCCGGGACCACCCATACACAAAAAAAATGTATGCATGCATGACTGTAAGTCGCTTTGGATAAAAGCGTCTGCTAAATGGCATATTATTATTATTATACAGCAAATAGGGTTGTTATTTATCACCATAAAAGGTGAATGAAGGGCGTTTTCCAGGCGAATAAATAATGCTCATTCACATGCGCATAGTTTCAGGACGGGGCTGATTTATAGTGAGAAACATGTATGTGTGGCATATGGCAAGTTTATAAATCTCAATATTTTTATAAGTACACATTCTTTTCAGAAATGGGTTAAGCAGATATTTAGTGTGAAATTTACACAACGCTTATCAATGAGGCCCCCAGAGTGCTGGCAGGTCTCCCCTGTCCATGTAATCTTATTCATTGTGATCTAAAGGGCATAGCTGATCTTAAATCCACGTTGGATACATTCAGCCCCAGGGATTTAGGCTCAGTTACATACTGTACCAGTAATGTAGCACTAGCATTAATGTTGATGAAGCAGAGAAAATGGGAGGGAACTCCATTTGAACATTGCAGATGAGATAATGTGATATGCGACATGTGTTGCAACAGACAAAGCATCTTTACATATGTTGATGAGGTGGAGAAAATGGTAAGGAACTTAATTTGAACATTGCAGTATATCATTTAGGACTACAACATGCCGGTATTGTGTCTAGGTTGTGTTATATAAACAGCTAGCTATCAGCTTCTGGTTACGCAAGCCCAAGTCTTCTATTAAGTCCCAAACTAAACCCCCTCTTGGGATGATCCTCTGTTCCCTTGTTCCTTTTCTTCCACAGGTGCTCCAACACATGGAGGACATTAAAATGAGGGAGATGCAGATCTTTGAGTACAAGAAGAAGATTGCAGAGGCAGAGACCAAGCTCAAACAGCAGCAGAACCTCTACGAGGCTGTCCGATCTGATCGGAACCTCTACAGCAAGAACCTTATCGAAGCTCAGGTTGGATTTACATATGATCAGTCAGTCAGTTGTGTAGGCAGGCGGGTGATTGTCCGGTCTGTCGATCGGTCAGTCTACTCGCTCGCTTGCTCACCCATTCAGTCATTCACTCACTCACTCACTCACTCTCCACCCTCTCTTTCAGGATGAGATCACAGAGATGAAGAGGAAACTGAAGATCATGAACCATCAGATTGACCAGCTAAGGGAGGAGATCAACGGCAAAGAGTCTGCCCTGGTCAAGGAGCACCTGGAGTTCCAGCGAGTGGAGAAAGAGAAGGAGGCTCTGAAGGTAATTTACTATGCCGTGCTCACTGTGAGTGGCTAAAGTGGCTACTGTGCAAATGTACTTTTTAGTCTGGGAACCCATTGGTGTAACTAGTCATGAGAGAAAGGATGGTTGTAATTCAGCATTTCGTTTTACTCAAATATTAACACCAACCTGCTTTAGCTTTTTCAATCACATCAGTGTGACACACTCCCCACCAGCATGACACCCATCCTGCCAAATGGCACCTTATTATAGTGCACTACTTTTGACCAAGGCCCAAAGTCTGTTTTCTTTTTTTTTACCTGGCTGCCCTCAAAGGCTAGCCTCCCCTCATTTACCTAATTTTCAAATGGCACAATTAAAACCAGTTTGATTTTAAGTGTAGGCCGTCTTTCCATTCCTCCTATAGGCCGAACTCCAGAAGATGAAGCAGCAGGCTCAGGAGACAAAGCAGTTTATCGACAATCAGGAGGCCGAGGAGAGAAAGCTGCTCAAGATCATAGCCGACGCAGATGCTGAGCGGCTCAGACAGAAGAAAGAATTGGATCAGGTAAGGGACAGAGAGAGGGGTGGAAAGGTGGCTCCCTGCTTTCACTGAAAACTCACTGCCCATTCAAAGAGACACATAGTACTGTCATAGTGATAAAATAGTGCTTAATAAAGGGGCAGGTCGTTCCCGTAGAGGCCTGGGATGGACAGAGATGTTGTCATCAGCCAGCAGATCTGTCATGCCGTTGCGGTCTCACATCACATGGGTCAAAAACATTGTGTTGATGAGGCTGCAGAATGCGACAGAGGTGCAGCTTTTCATTTATTTCTAATGAGGTTTGTATTTGAATGGATGAGACCAAGTAGAAATGTAGAGCATGCTATGGTATGTTGTCACCACCATGAATCTTTTTTCAAGACTTTCTAGGAAATAGCAGTTCATTTAGCAGGTCATCTACCAGTATCACAAGGGGCCAATATCACATTTGTATTTTATTTATTGTATTTTTGTTGTTTGCTCTTTTGCCATCACCGTCGTGTAGGTGATCAGCGAGCGAGACATCCTTGGCACTCAGCTGGTGCGACGAAACGACGAGCTGGCCCTCCTCTACGAGAAGATCAAGATCCAGCAGTCCATGCTGAACAAGGGAGAGATCCAGTACAACCAGAGGGTGGAGGACATCCGCCTCCTCAAGATGGAGATCAAGAAACTCAGACGAGAGAAGGGCATCCTGGCCAAGACTGTGGCTAACGTGGAAGACTTAAGGTGAGATTGAGAGAGGAAGAGAGAGAGGGAGTAAGAGGGTGAGAAAGTGAGCCGGCGAGACAGAGAGGGAGGGAGACGCTGATGTAGACAGAGAGAAGGGGGGACATAGGGAAACAGAGAAAGATCGAGACCCTGCCCTGAACGTCTAGCACCCAAAGTCATACTGAATTAATGTATAACCAATTTATCCCGTACTTTGGTTTTGCAGCTGGTGGCTACCAGTATGATTAAAGGAAAATTCCACCCAAAAACTATATTTTAGTATTTGTTTCATTAGTCCATTGTTGACATAATCCCAAAATGTTTTGCTTATCAGCAATCAAGTTTTCAAGATATCTAACTTTCAAAATACAGAAATCATCCACGTATGATGCATTTTGATGCAAAATGCAGCATATGATGAAACAAATTCCAAAATATAGTTTTTGGTTGGAGTTTTCCTTTAACCGCTGTTAGGTTCTAAGATTCTGGTAGAAATTCCAGTTGGACTCTGAAGAAAGCTAGATTTATTAAACCACACTGGGTCATACAGCTGCAAAGACAAGATATGACGATACAAGCACATATATTTATAACCTCCTACTAGGCGGGGTCAACTCCTTACACATCTTGACAGCCAATACATCTATGTTGCTAGGCAGGAACTTAATTGGTTCCTCTCAACTGGTGTAGTCATGGCCCTGCTTGATGCTAGAACCTTCGTAGGCATGGAAGTGTATGTTTGTGAGATAGGACTGTAGTAGGAGGGTCGTTGGGGTGGGCCCCTCTGGCTCCCCTCCCAGAGGTTTCTTCTCACTTCTTCTGTTGACTTGACCTCGAGCGGAATTCCTCGCTCCTCCCTAGTTCTGTAGCTGGCCTGCCTTATCAAAGACTAACTGTTGCCCTTCTCCTCCCTCAGTAACTTTCCATACACATTCCTTATTCACACTTCATTGACACAGAACATAAACAGTTATCATACATGTAACATAATCAATAAGTTCTTATATAGTGACAGGAATAAGTATATTTTAAGTTAGTACCGAACACCGTTCAAAGAGAGCAGCGCACTGAAATCATAATCAATTTCTGTAAATTATGCACTATTCTTAATAACCTTTCATTTTACATTATTTCATTATTTAAATTGTTTTTGTGGTACAAAAGTGCACAGATCTGTGCAGCAGGACTATTTCTGCATTGCTCAGTTTACATTGCTGTCTCATCCACTATTGGCATTAATTTGCTTTATTGTGAACCTGTTGATATCTGCAACCCACAAAAGGTTACCATAGTGGCATTTGCTGGACATCTGCCATGAACAAAACATTGAATTGATACAGGCTTGCCAATGTTTTTACATCCTTAATGATTAACGAAAATAGTGAAATTGAAGTCTGTTTTCAATCTATGCCCCACTTGTATTTGTTGTCATTAAATATGTGAGGAGGAAATACCATGACATTTGATGGCATTTTGTGGGTTTTGTGACAGACGTGAGGTTTACCACATGCAGAGGGAGCTGCTCAAAGAGAGGACAAGGTGCAGAGCCTTGGAGGAGGAGCTGGAGAATCCTATGAATGTACATCGTTGGAGAAGGCTGGAGGTGTGTGTGTTACTGTGTGTGACTGTGTGTGTGTATATTTTGTGAGTGCATGGGCTCAAAAACATTTAGACCTGTTTCAGTACATTTACTTTTACTGTATACCTACTCTCTTAGGGACATGAACTTCTTAATGCTTCAGCCTAGCTCCTGTGAGACATAGCCAGAGAACTTGTTTAGGGTTATGCATTAATGCCTCTTATTTGACTTTCCTCAGGCCAGCGATCCAAGCACCTACGAGTTGATCCAGAAGATTCACTCTTTACAGAGGCGTCTGATAACCAAGAGCGAGGAGGTGGTGGAGAAAGAGCTTTTATTACAGGTAAACCCCAGATAAATCTGTCTCATCCTATTGGCTACCCAAACACCAGGTGCTCCCACAAGGAATGGGTTGGGTCACAGCAGAAATCAATGGCAGCCTGGGAGAATTTGTTCACTACTTCATAACTTTCAGAAATTAGCGTGGACTGCATACACTGAGTATACCAAACATTAGGAACACCTTCCTAATATTGAGTTGCAACCCCCCGTTTTGCCCTCAGAACAGCCTCAATTCGTCGGGGCATGGACTCTACAAGGTGTCGAAAGCGTTCCACAGAGATGCTGGGCAATGTTGACTCCAATGCTTCCCACAGTTGTGTCAAGTTGGCTGGATGTCCTTTGGGTGGTGGACCATTCTTGATACACATGGGAAACTGTTGAGCGTGAAAAACCCAGCAACGTTGCAGTTCTTGACACAAACCTGTGCGCCTGACACCCACTACCATACCCCGTTCAAAGGCATTTAAATATTTTGTCTTGCCCATTCACCCTCTGAATGGCACACATACACAATCCATGTCTCAATTGTCTCAAGGCTTAACATCCTTTAAAACCTTTTCCAGCAGTCAAATGACCTAGTGCCCTCATGGGTGGAATGTTATTAATATTTTTCATAATTTCATAATTAATAAACATTCCGGTGTTTCTATGTCAAACTATTTCGCTATATTTCAGTCTTCTGTGACGTATATAAAGTGTAATATTGGGATGCAAACTCAAAATGTTATACATTTCAACTCTATATCTGACATTTTTTTTGTAAGGCCATAACCATGTGTGTGAGGTGTATACTTTTGTTTCAAAGTATATTTGTTTAAGACTACCAAGAAACACTCAGATTTAGCCCACTGCAGTAAAATATTAACCTGTCTCCTCTCCTTCATCTACACTGATTGAAGTGGATTTAACAAGTGACATCAATAAGGGATCATAGCTTTCAGCTGGATTCACCTGGTCAGTCTATGTCATGGAAAGAGCAGGTGTTCTTCATTTTTTATATACTCAGTGTTGATACAGTATGCAAAAATGTACAGTCGGAAGTTTACATACACTTAGGTTGGAGTCATTAAAACTAGTTTTTCAACAACTCCACAAATTCCTTGTTAACAAAGTATAGTTTTGGCAAGTCGGTTAGGACATCTACTTTGTGCATGACACAAGTAATTTTACCAACAATTGTTTACAGACAGATTATTTCACTTATAATTCACTATATCACAATTCCAGTGGGTCAGAAGTTTACATACACTTAGTTGACTGTGCCTTTCAACAGCTTGGAAAATTCCAGAAAATGATGTCATGGCTTTAGAAGCTTCTGATAGGCTAATTGACATAATTTGAGTCAATTGGAGGTGTACCTGTGGATGTATTTCAAGGCCTACCTTCAAACTCAGTGCCTCTTTGCTTGACATCATGGGAAAATCTAAAGATATCAGCCAAGACCTCAGAAAAAAAATGTAGACCTCCACAAGTCTGGTTCATCCTTGGGAGCAATTTCCAAATGCCTGAAGGTACCACGTTCATCTGTACACACAATAGTACGCAAGTATAAACACCATGGGACCACGCAGCCGTCATACCGCTCAGGAAGGAGACGTGTTCTGTCTCCTAGAGATAAACGTACTTTGGTGCAAAAAGTGCAAATCAATCCCAGAACAACAGCAAAGGACCTTGTGAGGATGCTGGAGGAAACAGGTACAAAAGTATCTATATCCACAGTAAAACGAGTCCTATATCGACATAACCTGAAAGGCCGCTCAGCAAGGAAGAAGCCACTGCTCCAAAACCGCCATTAAAAAGCCAGACTACGGTTTGCAACTGCACATGGGGACAAAGATCGTACTTTTTGGAGAAATGTCCTCTGGTTTGATGAAACAAAAATTGAACTAATTGGCCATAATGACCATCGTTATGTTTGGAGGAAAAAGGGGGATGCTTGCAAGCCGAAGAACACCATCCCAACCGTGAAGCACGGGGGTGGCAGCATCATGCTGTGGGGGTGCTTTGCTGCAGGAGGGACTGGTGCACTTCACAAAATAGATGGCGTCATGAGGAAGGAAAATTATGTGGATATATTGAAGCAACATCTCAAGACATCAGTCAGGAAGATAAAGCTTGGTCACAAATTAGTCTTCCAAATGGACAATGACCCCAAGCATGCTTCCAAAGTTGTGGCAAAATGGCTTAAGGACAACAAAGTCAGGGTATTGGAGTGGCCATCACAAAGCCCTGACCTCAAACCTATAGAAAATGTGTGGGCAAAACTGAAAAAGCATGTGTGAGCAAGGAGGCCTACAAACCTGACTCAGTTACACCAGCTCTGTCAGGAGGAATGGTCCAAAATTCACCCAACTTATTTTGGGAAGCTTGTGGAAGGCTACCCGAAACGTTTGACCCAAGTTAAACAATTTAAAGGCAATGCTACCAAATACTAATTGAGTGTATGTAAACTTTTGACCCACTGGGAATGTGATGAAAGAAATAAAAGCTAAAATAAATCATTCTCGCTACTATTATTCTGACATTTCACATTCTTAAAATAAAGTGGTGATCCTAACTGACCTAAGACTTTGAATTTTTACTAGGATTAAATGTCAGGAATTGTGAAAACCTGAGTTTAAATGTATTTGGCTAAGGTGTATGTAAACCTCCGACTTCAACTGTAGATAATGGGTGGGTCGAGAGCTGGTAAGGAAGCGCCCAGTGGGATGTGTGCACGTTTTTAAAGAGCCCATCCCTGACTGAATGTTTGGCTGCGTGGCGTCACCTGTCTCTTCCGCTTAAATGCTCAGGAGAAGGAGAAACTGTACGTGGAGCTGAAGCATATTCTGGCCCGTCAGCCTGGACCGGAGGCAGCCGAGCAGCTTCAGATCTACCAGCAGACACTGAGGCAGAAGACAAAACAGCTCAAGGTCCTCTGTGCCTTTCATCTTATTTTTGTACATCCCTCTCTCTCTCCCGATCTTTCTCATTCTTTCTCTCTCTCCCTCCCTCTCTCCCTCATTTCCACTTCCAAGCAGCTCTGACCACTGGCAGAGAAATGGCCACTTCAGATACAGCAGGACCATGCACAGGCTTGCGAGCCAGGCTCACTGGCCCAGAGTAGCTTTTTCCCTGGCCATGACATTTTCAGCTTAGTCATATGCTGCTGCTTGAAGTTGATTTATATTAGATGTCCTTTTAATCTTCCACATCCAGGCTTTGTCATCAGAGCTGAACATGTACGAGTCCCAGGAACAGGAGTACAAGTACGAGATTGAGAGACTGGCCCATGAGCTGCAGAACATCAAGAAGAAGTACCTCACTCAGAAACGCAAAGAACAGCAGTGCAGGTAAAGATTACCCTGGTATAGTACTTACCAACCACCGTAATCACCCCTGAGCTCATTCTGGGGTTTCTGATCCAAACTGATTTAACTCTACAAGTAGTGGCGATTTATCAAATTAATTTAAATGTATGTTTTTACGCGATATTCCAAATGCCTGTATCGCAAGAATCAAGGTTTTGTTCTTTTCCGTTTTTTTATGAGTGTTTATAGTGCCTTCGGAATGTATTCAGACCCCTTGACTTTTTCCACATTCTGTTACGTTACAACCTTATTCTAAAATGGATTAAATAGATTTTTTTGCTCATCAATCTACAAACAATACCCCATAATGACAAAGCAAAAACCGTTTTTTAGAATTGTTTGCTAATTTATTAAAAAATATATATTTATATCACGTTTACATAAGTATTCAGACCCTTTACTCAGTACTTTGTTGAAGAACCTTTGGCAGCGATTACAGCATCAAGTCTTCTTTGGTATGACGCTACAAGCTTGGCACACCTGTATTTGGGGAGTTTCTCCCATTCTTCTCTGCATATCCTTTCTGCAGATGGTTGTCCTTCTGCAAGATTCTCCCATCTCCACAGAGGAGTTTTTGGTCACCTCCCTGACCAAGGCCCTTCTCCCCCGATTGCTCAGTTTGGCAGGGCGGCCAGCTTTAGGAAGAATGTTGGTGGTTCCAAAGTTCTTCCATTTAAGAATGATGGAGGCCACTGTGTTCTTGTGGACCTTCAATGCTGCAGACATGTTTTGGTACCCTTCCCCAGATCGGTGCCTCGACACAAATCTGTCTTGGAGCTCTACGGACAATTACTTAGACCTCACGCCTTGGTTTTTGCTCTGACATACACTGTCAACTGTGGGACCTTATATAGACTGGTGTGTGCCTTTCCAAATCATGTCCAATCAATTCAATTGACCATAGGTGGACTCTAATCAAGTTGTAGAAACATCTCAAGGATGATCAATGAAAACAGGATGCACCTGAGCTCAATTTCGAGTCAAATAGCAAAGGGTCTTAATACTTATGTAAATAAGGTTGTTTTTAATTTTTTAATACATTTGCAAACATTTCTAAAAACCTGTTTTCACTTTGTCATTATGGGGTATTGTGTGTAGATGGCAAAAAAATTATAATATTTAATCAATTTTAGAATAAAGCTGTAACGTAACAAAATGTGGAAAAAGTCAAGGGGTCTGAATACTTTCCGAAGGCACTGTATGTCCACTTGTTTTCATGTTGTATTTTTGGTCTCATCTCCTTCGCTCCTCTGTGCTGTGTGCACCTTCCAATTTACACCAGAGATCTGTATATAATGACAAGATGCACATCTCCGCCTTAACAATGGGAGTCGTTGTCCCAAAGGCGGGAAGGCAGGCAACAAGCTTAGGTCAGAAATAAGCCCATAGAAACGCATTGGCCTTATTTTGGACAGATTTTAGCGCTTCGCCTCTTCCTCTATGGTTTACACACACACCAAGCCCCTCTCCCCCTGCCTCTCACGCCAACAAAGTTCAGAGATCACATCTTCTCTGACAAGTGGTTTTAACTCGCTATTTGCATTTGAGGTTTGGTCCAACAGAATCGGTCATATGGACACCAAAACATTATTATAGAGGAGAAGTTAACTTTTCTAACAATACCCTTTTTATGTCTCAACTACTTAAATTGCACGCAGAGCAGACACTAGTAAAACGAGAGTATCAATGAACATTGATTCTGGAAAATGAATGCTCAGTTTGTCGCACGGGCATTGGGGTACCGCTAGCAGCATTTTAGCCCAAGACTGTTATGCTAGCTAGTCTGTGTTTTATAAATGTGCAATAAGCATAAAACACAATTATATAAGGAACTGGCAAGGAGACAGGCAGAAGGGTGTGTTCATAACAATTCAACTGTTCAACCTTGTTAGCTAGCAAATAGATCCAAGTTGGCGAAACATGAAATATAAAGATTAGCTGGCTAATCACTAGCACGTGGGCTTGAGAGATTGTTGATGAGACCTATGTTAACTTTCTATAGACTAATCCCTGCTACAAGAAGTTTGTAATTATTAGTGAATGTGCATTATGCATGGTTCTAGTAAACATTTTAACAAAAAAGGGCATTTTCAGAGACAGACTTGAAAACCAGATCAGTGATTATTGCAAAGAAAAGTAGGTTCAACTATTTTGATAAAATAATTAAATTATGGTTGTGGAAGGCTTATATTTAGCCTAGTTATAACTTCACAAGCCCTGAATTCAATAGATTATTGTTGATTGTTTGAAATGCAGTGTATTTTACCTTTAATTGTACAACAACGCTTATTTAGAGAAAACATTTTTAAAATCGTCGATATATATTGTGAATCGCCCATAAGTTTGAAAAAATCGAGATATGATTTTTAGGCCGTATGGCCCAGCCCTATGTACAAGGGTTGCGAAAATGCAGTGAGTGTGTGCGAATGCGTGATCCTAACTGAAGATGACCTTCAATGTGAAGTGGGTGATCAGTGATGGCTTCAGACATACCATAAATTATACCACAAATCCAGTCGCCGTCAGTGTATGAAAAATGTATGCACTCACTAACTGTAAGTCGCTCTGGATAAGAGCGTCTGCTAAATGACTAAAATGTAAAAAATGTAAAATGAGAACCGATCTACGACCACCATGACTGTGGTGAAGCCGTCAGAATGTGGAAGGTCGGTGACAAAGTCTTTGGACAGGTGTGACCAAGGTCGCTGAGGCACTGGGAGAGGAACTAGTTTGCCTGCTGGGGCGTGTCACGGTTTCGGCCGAGGCTGCCTCTCTTCCTTGCTCGGGCAGGCTTCGGCGGTCGTCGTCTCCGGAGTACTAGCTGCCACCGTTGAATGTTTCTATGTTCGTTTGGTTTTGTCTTGATTATGTACACCTGTTTTCGTTTAGCGCTAATTAGTGTCCTTTAAGTTCTCTTTGTGTTTGTCAGGTGTTGTGTGTGATTGTTTCGCTGTCGTGTTTGTGCGCTACTGTCTACCGTTTGCTCTTTGTAGCTTTCCTCCTCTGTTTAGGAGGGTATGATCGCACATGTTTAGTGCGCCCTTTTGTTTACGCCTGTGTGCGGTTTTTCTCGCCTCCGGGCTTTTGGCTCGTGTATTTGAGTGTGCTTTCACTAAAGTCTTTTGGACTTATTTTCTGCGTCCTGCACCTGATTCCTGCACCACACCCACCTGCAGCACCCTCTGACAGAATCACACACCTGAAGGATGGAATCAGCAGGAGCCGCAGCAGCACATGAGACTCTGGAGGATCGGGTCCGTGAGCAGAATGACCAGATCCTTCGTATCGGGACCGCCCTGCAGGACGTTATTAACACCCTTCAACGCTGGGAGACCAGAGGGACACCCCCAACTCCACCTCCCCTGCCATCACCATCGGCCAGTCAGCCCATTCAAGCTCCGGAACCCAGGGGAATTCGACTCTCGCTCCCGAGGGCCTATGATGGGACCAGGTGTCAGGGCTTCCTTCTACAGGTGGAGCTTTACCTGGCCACCGTGCACCCGGCACTCTGGACACGAGAGCGTGTCTGCCCTCATCTCCTGTCTTACCGGCAAGGCGTTGGAATGGGCCAACGCCGAGTGGAGGAGAATAGACGCCACCACCATCACATACTCTGAGTTCTCCCGCCGCTTCAGGGCGGTGTTTGACCATCCACCTGAGGGGAAAGCGGCGGGGGAGCGTCTGTTCTACCTCCGGCAGGGGAGGAGGAGCGCCCAGGAGTTCGCTTTAGAATTCCGTACTCTAGCGGCGGATGCAGGGTGGAATGAGCGGGCCCTCATCGATCACTACCGCTGTAGTCTACGAGAGGACGTCCGTCGGGAGCTGGCCTGCAGGGATACCAGTCTCTCTTTCGATCAGTTAGTGGACATGTCCATCAGGCTGGACACCCTGCTGGCTACCCGCGGACGTTCCGAGGGGGGTCCGTCCATTTCACCCTCCAGCGCCTCCGAGCCGAGCCCTATGGAGCTTGGGGGCGCTGGCGCTAGAGAGAGGAGGGGTCGGAGTACGAGGGGGCCCGTCTCCTGCACCAACTGTGGCCGTGGAGGACACACCACGGCTAGGTGCTGGGGATGGTCTCCTAGGGGAGAAGACGACAGGCTCCGCACTGGGGAGTCCTTCCAGGTGAGTAGGCGCCCCACTTACCCAGAGCTCTCTGTTGCGCACTTCTGTATACCTGTGCGTTTTCTACAGGTAGCACCTCATTCCCAGCATAAGGCGCTGGTAGATTCAGGGAATTTTGTTGATAGAAAATTTTGTTTAGAATTAGGGATTCCCCTTCTTCCTGTTGACGTCCCATTCCCCGTTCATGCCCTAGATAGCCGTCCATTGGGATCGGGCTTGATCAGGGAGGTCACGGCGCCACTTAGGATGTGTGCGCAGGGGGGTCATGAGGAGATTATCCAGCTATTTCTAATCGACTCGCCTGCGTATCCGGTGGTGCTGGGCATGCCCTGGTTGAGTATCCATAACCCGTCTATTTCGTGGCAGGAGAGGGCTCTGATGGAGTGGTCTGCCCAGTGTGTGGGTCGATGTTTAGGCGTTTCCGTGGGGGCTACCTCGGTGGAGAGTCCAAACCAGGTGCCCGCATTGCACATTCCCCCTGAGTATGAGGATTTGGCTATTGTGTTCAGTAAGTCGAGGGCGACGCAGTTGCCTCCCCATAGGCAGGGAGATTGTGCGATAGACCTCCAGGCAGGAGCTGCGCTCCCACGGAGCCATGTGTATCCTCTGTCTCAGGAGGAGAAGAGAGCTATGGAGACTTACATAGACGAATCTCTGAGACAAGGATACATACGGTCATCCACTTCCCCTGCGTCCTCGAGTTTCTTTTTTGTGAAGAAAAGGGATGGAGGGTTACGCCCCGTGCATTGATTACCGTAGTCTCAATCAGATCACGGTGAAGTACAGTTATCCACTTCCTCTGATTGCGACCATGACGGAGTCATTGCACGGGGCGCGTTTTTTCACTAAATTAGATCTCAGGAGCGCGTACAACTTGGTGCGCATTAGGGAGGGCGATGAATGGAAGACAGCATTTAGTACCACCTCGGGGCATTACGAGTATCTTGTCATGCCATACGGGTTGATGAATGCTCCTTCAGTTTTCCAATCATTTGTGGATGAGATATTCAGGGACATGCAGGGGCAGGGGGTGGTCGTGTACATAGATGACATTCTCGTGTTCTCGTCTACCCGAGTCGAGCATGTGGCTCTGGTGCGCCGAGTGTTGCGGAGGCTGTTGGAGCACGACCTGTATGTCAAGGCAGAGAAGTGTCTGTTTTTCCAGGAGTCGATCTCCTTTTTGGGTTATCAGTTGTCTGCGTCAGGGGTGAAGATGGAGGTTGACCGGGTGTCAGCCGTGCGTAATTGGCAAACGCCAACCACTGTTAAAGAGGTGCAGCAGTTTTTGGGGTTTGCGAATTACTACCGGAGGTTTATCCGGGGTTTTGGACAGGTGGCAGCTTCCATAACATCTCTTTTTAAGGGGGGTCCGGTGCGTTTGCAGTGGTCAGCCGAGGCGGACAGGGCTTTTGGGAGGCTGAAGGACCTGTTTACTTCGGCTCCGGTGCTGGCGCATCCGGATCCCTCTTTACCATTTCAGGTAGAGGTGGACGCGTCAGAGGCCGGTATAGGAGCCGTGCTTTCGCAACAGTCCGGCACGCCACCTAAACTCCGCCCCTGTGCCTTTTATTCCAAAAAGCTCAGTCCGGCGGAGCGAAATTATGACGTAGGGGACAGGGAGCTGTTAGCCGTGGTACAGGCCCTAAAGGTGTGGAGGCACTGGCTTGAGGGGGCTCAACACCCTTTCCTCATTTTGACTGACCACCGTAACCTGGAGTACATCCGGGCGGCTAGGAGACTGAACCCTCGCCAGGCGCGGTGGAACATGTTTTTGACCCGGTTCGTATTTAAGATCACGTACATCCCTGGGTCACAGAACGGTAAGGCAGACGCACTGTCTCGGCGGTATGACACGGAGGAGAGGTCCGTGGAGCCCACTCCCATACTGCCGGAGTCTTGTCTGGTGGCACCGGTAGTGTGGGAGGTCGATGCTGAAATCGAGCGGACGTTGCGCACCGACCCTAGTCCTCCTCAATGCCCGGAGGGTCGGAAGTACGTTCCGCTCGAGGTTCGGGATCGATTGATCTATTGGGCTCACACGTCACCCTCCTCTGGACATCCTGGTATAGGCCGGACAGTGCACTGCCTTAGTGCTAAGTACTGGTGGCCCACGTTGGCGAGGGATGTGAGGGTTTATGTCTCCTCCTGCTCGGTGTGCGCCCAGTGTAAGGCGCCTAGACATCTGCCTAGGGGTAAGTTACAACCCCTGCCCGTTCCACAACGACCATGGTCTCACCTCTCGGTGGACTTCATCACTGACCTTCCCTCCTCACAGGGGAATACTACTATACTGGTCGTTGTGGACCGGTTATCTAAGGCCTGTCGTTTGCTCCCTATGCTGGGCCTTCCTACTGCCCTACAGACCGCCAAAGCTCTATTCACCCATGTTTTCCGGCACTACGGAGTACCCGAGGATATTGTGTCTGATCGAGGTCCCCAATTCACCTCCAGAGTCTGGAGAGCCTTTATGGAGCGTTTGGGGGTCTCGGTGAGCCTCACCTCGGGTTACCATCCTGAGAGTAATGGGCAGGTGGAACGTGTGAACCAGGATGTGGGTAGGTTTCTTAGATCATACTGCCAGGACCGGCCGGAGGAGTGGGCACGGTACGTTCCCTGGGCAGAAATGGCCCAGAATTCCCTACGCCATTCCTCAACTAACCTAACCCCTTTCCAATGTGTGTTAGGTTACCAGCCGGTTCTGGCACCTTGGCAGCAGAGCCAGATCGAGGCTCCTGCGGTGGATGAGTGGGTACGGCGCTCGGAGGAGACGTGGAACGCTGCACACGTCAACCTGCAGCGGGCCCTCCGTCGTCAAAAGGCGAGCGCCGATCTCCACCGCAGTGAGGGGCCGGTGTACGCACCTGGTGATCGAGTCTGGCTCTCTACCAGAAACCTGCCCCTCCGCCTGCCCTGTCGGAAACTGGGTCGGCGGTTTGTGGGGCCGTTTAAAGTCCTGAGAAGATTGAACGAGGTGTGTTACAGATTACAACTGCCTATTGAGTATAAAAATATTAACCCCTCGTTCCATGTGTCTCTTCTCAGGCCGGTGGTAGCTGGCCCACTCCAGGAAAATGAGATCAGGGAGACTCCTCCGCCCCCATTGGACATCGAGGGGGCACCGGCGTACTCCGTGCGGTCCATCTTGGATTTGAGACGTCGGATGGGGGGTCTCCAATATCTGGTGGAGTGGGAGGGGTACGGCCCGGAGGAACGGTGCTGGGTGCCGAGGAGAGACATTTTGGACCCGTCTCTCCTGACAGAATTCCACCGTAGTCACCCGACGCACCCTGCTCCGCGTCCTCCTGGTCGTCCCCGAGGCCGGAGTCGGCGCACGTCTGGAGCCGGGCGTCAAGGGGGGGGTACTGTCACGGTTTCGGCCGAGGCTGCCTCTCTTCCTTGCTCGGGCAGGCTTCGGCGGTCGTCGTCTCCGGAGTACTAGCTGCCACCGTTGAATGTTTCTATGTTCGTTTGTTTTTGTCTTGATTATGTACACCTGTTTTCGTTTAGCGCTAATTAGTGTCCTTTAAGTTCTCTTTGTGTTTGTCAGGTGTTGTGTGTGATTGTTTCGCTGTCCTGTTTGTGCGCTACTGTCTACCGTTTGCTCTTTGTAGCTTTCCTCCTCTGTTTAGGAGAGTATGATCGCACATGTTTAGTGCGCCCTTTTGTTTACGCCTGTGTGCGGTTTTTCTCGCTTCCGGGCTTTTGGCTCGTGTATTTGAGTGTGCTTTCACTAAAGTCTTTTGGACTTATTTTCTGCGTCCTGCGCCTGATTCCTGCACCACACCCACCTGCAGCACCCTCTGACAGGGCGTTACGAGGTGTCTTCTTTGGGCACATACGGAACAGGAGCTGACATAGCGGGAGACATCAGAAGCCAAGGTGGGCCACCAGTATTTTTGGGCTAGAGAATGCAGGGTGCGCGTAATACCAGAGTGCCCTGCCGTAAGGGTGGTATGCACCCAGATCAGCAGGCGGTCACGGACACTGGGTCCTCCTGAGCCGCCAGGCAGATGTCTTCATCCACATCCCAAACGACAGGTGCAACGATGAGAGACGAGGGCAGGATAGGACCCCCAGATCCTTCCTTTCTCCGGTATGGTGCATCCTGGAGAGTGCGTCGGCCTTCACATTCTGGGATCCTGGGCGGTAGGACAGAATGAATTGGAAGCGAGTGAGAAATTGGGCCCACCTGGCTTGACGAGAGTTCATCCGTTTCGCTGCCCGTATGTGCTCCAAATTCCGGTGGTCAGTAAGAATCCGGAATGGATGGACTGCGCCCTCCAGCCAGTGTCTCCATTCCTCCAGAGCGAGGACCACCGCAAACAGCTCCCTGTCTCCAACTCCATAGTTCCTCTCTGCGGGGGTAAGCTTTTTAGAGAAAAAGGCACAGGGATACATTTTCTCTAGGTTACCGTGCCGCTGGGAGAGGACCGCACCCACGCCCTCCTCCGATGCGTCCACCTCCAGGATGAAAGGACGAGATGGATCTGGGTGTTTTAGGATGGGCGCTGTGGTGAACCTCTCCTTCAGCCTATTGAAGGCAGCATCAGCCTCAGGGTTCCAGGCCAGCTTCTGAGGCCCACCCTTAAGGAGAGAGGTGAGCGGGCGGCTATGGAGCTGAGGACCTGATGAAACGCCGGTAGAAATTAGCGAAGCCCAGGAAGCTCTGAAGGCCCTTGATGGTGGTGGGAACTGGCCATGACCTGACGCCGTCTGTCTTCACTCCTTCCATGAACACCCCCTGAGGACTGATCCGGTATCCCAGGAAGGAGATGGCCTATTGGTGGAATTCGCATTTCTTCCCCTTCACCAACAGGCTGTGTTCCCGGAGGCAGAGTAGGACAGCTCGGACGTCCCTGAAGTGCTCCTCGAACATAGCCGAGTAGATCAGGATATCGTCGATGTACACCACCACCTGTCTACTCAGCATGTCCCGAAACACGTAATTGACGAAGGACTGGAACACAGAAGGTGCGTTGGCGAGGCCGTAGGGCATGACGCAGTATTCATAGTGGCCTGAGGTAGTGCTGAATGCCGTCTTCCACTCGTCTCCTTCCCAGATTCGGATCAGGTTGTAGGCACTCCTCAGGTCCAACTTGCTAAAGTACCGGGCCCCTCGTAGCTGCTCGATGGCCGACGGAACCAGAGGGAGTGGGTACCGGTACTTGGTGGTGACTGCGTTCAGCCCCCTGTAGTCAATGCATGGTCTCAGTCCTCTGTATTTTTTGGCCACGAAGAAGAAGCTGGTGGAGGCAGGAGAGGTAGAGCGTCTGATGAACCCCTGTTTCAGGGTCTCTGCCACATACTTCTCCATGGCCTCAGTCTCCGCCATGGAAAGGGGGTAAATGTGACTCTTCGGGGGGTGTTGTCCCTCCAGCAGGTCAATGGTGCAGTCCTAGGGCCTGTGAGGAGGGAGACACGTAGCCTTTAATGAAGAGAAGACATCAGAGAGATCTGCATACTCACGTGGAATGTTGGGCTGGAGGGCAGACTCCGGACTCTCCACTGACGTGGAACAACAACCCACCGGCAGGCAGGTCTTCCGGCATGAGGTGGACCAGGCTGTGATCCTCTTGGTGCTCCAATTGATGGTGGGGTTGTGTAGTCTGAGCCAGGGCAATCCCAAAATGATCCGGTGAAGGGGTGACGTGACAGTGTGGAATGACAGCTCCTCGTGGTGCTCCGGTAGTGTGGGAATGGTGATGGGGAGAGTGATGTGCGTAATGGTGCCTGAGAAGGAATAACCAGTCACCGTTATGGGAACTAAAAACAATGGTTTTGTGATAGGAGCTGACATAACACTCACGGAGCGGCGACGGGAGTCATACCGCCTAGATAGGGATCCGCCAGGAGATCTGTGGTCCGTGGTGGTGTAGGGGGTGCTGCCCACCTCCATGGGTGAGGACTCGGAAGCAGGGCGGCTTCCATAGCTCAGATGGGGTGAGCGTCGAGGCTCCGGGAGGTGTTGGGAACGCCGTCTCTCTCTCAACATGTCGTCAAGACGGATGGACGTGGTGATGAGGGTATCAAGGTCCATCTCGTCGTCCCGACATGCGAGTTCCGTCTTGATGTCCTCCCGTAAGCCTCTTGTGAAGGCCGTGCGCAGAGCACGCTCATTTCAGCCAGAAGACGCCGCCACCGTGCGAAAGCTCAGAGTACTCGGACGCGGGCCCATCTCTCTGTTGTAGATGTCCTTTCCCTCCATGGGATGATCAAACACCGCCCTGAACTGAGCGAGGAAGGTGGGGTAGGGAAGCGCCACTGCCTCCTCTCCTTCCCAGACTGCCGTGGCCCAATCCAGCGCCTTTCCTTTAGGTAGCGAAATCACCAGCGCTATCCTGGCTTGGTCAGATGGATATGCCCCAGGTTGACGCGCCAGATAAAGTGAAACCTGCAGCAGGAAGCCGCTACATTTAGTAGTTTTACCGTCATAGCGCTCCGGTAGGGTGAGGGTTCCCGCAGAAGTGGGTGATAGGACGGGAACAGGTGGATTGGGGGCACTCGCCGCTCCCTGAGGTGGAACCGGAGTGCTGGGCAGATTATGAAGAGTTTGGAGCACTTCCTGCATGGCGGCGTTCAACTGGGCAATCTGCTGCTGGTGCTGGTCGAGGCACTGGGAAACTCCTGCTGCATCCATTTTCGTTTGGTGTGTGATTCTGTGACGAGTACTGAGTATACGAAGAGGCAGGACGCAGACGCAGGAATTAACAAGGTCGGTGCAGGTGCGCTGGAGGTGATTAGGGTTTCCATTCCGGTGTTGCCGAGGTGGTGCGCTCAGACCGGTGGCTCAGTAGACTGGCGAATCAGAGCGCCGGAGGGGAGCAACGGGAGGAGACGTGACAATATCAGCTGTATGTGACCAGGCGAAAAAACCTTTCCAAGCCAAACCATATCATTACCGCTACACACAGCCTACATTGTTGTCACCATATTAGCTAAAGTAACATCCTAGTCAACATAACTAATAAAACTAATGCGTTAGTAAGCCCTCTACAATCATGCAGTAATGTTACAGTAAGCAGTTTAGCAGTTACACCGGCAAGCCCCAGTGGTAGTAAATTAATAAAACCAAACGCTTACCTTGACTTGGAAGAGTTCCAGTGTTGTTTTGGATAGTCATAGCCAGCTAGCTAACATAGCATCCCTCTGTTTGAGCAGGGTGTTTGAGTAGGCTAAACTAGCTAGCTGCATTTGCTAGCTAAGTAAGTGAAACTGAAAGTGAAAAAAAGACAATCTCTCTCTCTTGCTTCTCCTTAATTTTTGAAGAAATTAATTTGTTCAAAACTTTTCAAGTATTGTCTTTCTCTCTCTTTGAGTCAACTACTTACCACATGTTATGCACTGCAGTGCTAGCTAGCTGTAGCTAATGCTTTCAGTACTAGATTCATTCTCTGATCCTTTGATTGGGTGGACAACATGTCAGTTCATGCTGTAAGAGCTCTGATAGGTTGGAGGACGTCCTCTGGAAGTTGTCATAATTACTGTGTAAGTCTATTGAAGGGGGTGAGAACCAAGAGCCTCCTAGGTTTTGTATTGAAGTCAATGTACCAAGAGGAGGACGGAAGCTAACTGTCCTCCGGCTACAGCATGGTGCTACCCTACAGAGTGCTGTTGAGGCTACTGTAGACCTTCATTGCAAAACAGTGTGTTTTAATCAATTATTTGGTGACGTTAATATATTTAGTATAGTTTTATCTAAAAAGGATAACTTTTTTAATGTTTTACCATTTTTATTTGTATGAATTTCACTGAGGAGGATGGTCCTCCCCTTCCTCTTCTGAGGAGCCTCCACTGCTCAAATCAAAAAAGCTGGGAAGACGACCAGAGAATCAATTAGCCAGCGAATTGGGCGACCTTACCGTGTGTGTGCGTGCGAGTGTGGATGGAGCAACTCTGAAATGCGTCTGCATGTGTCTGTGTGACAAATGTCCTTCTCATTTCCTGGAACTCTCTTGTGTGTCCGCAGGGAGAAAGAGAGGAGCCTGGCCCAGGTGGGACAGTCGGTGATCCTGCCCCAGCGCAGCGACGGTCCACGCTTCACCGGTGGAGGCTTCAGTCTTGAGCAGGCTGGCAAAATCACTACCTAGAGGGGGAGACAAGAAGCTCCCTCCAGCCTTACGTCTTATCACACTCCCTCTTATTACCTCCTCACCCCTCATAAGACACTCACCATTGTTGATACTGTTTTTAAGAGCTCTTCTAAAGGAATAATTAATGGGCTGTGATGTTATTCAATAAAGAGAGCTCACTTCACGTATCAGTCTGACCTTTCTCCAATATTTATGCTTGAAGTTAGAAAATGGTCAGTCCAATCAGCGTTCTCTCTGAAAAAATGGGTGGGTTTAGGATAACCTCGGAAACCCAGAACTAAAATCTTGCGTAAATGCGTCAGATGCTCGATTAGGTTCTGGAGGGAGGTGAATGAGAAAATTCTACTAACGAGACTAGAGAAATCTCCACCCTCCTAAACGGAAACTCTCAGCCAGAGCCCTCCCCCCTAACTAAAAATGTAAGTTTGAAATCCCCGTCCCCACTTTAAGTACCACCATCACCCAATCCTAAAACATCCAAATAACCAGTGATGTAAAACCAAAGCACCAGAAATACTGTGCACTTTAGTCGTCACATCAGTCTTTTGACAGACGTTACTGTCACGAGGGTCTATGTCGTCTAAGTAAGACCAAGGCGCAGCGTGTCCAAGAAACATGACTTTATTAAATCAAAGTCTGGAACAAAACAACGAAACAAGACCGATACGTGAAGTCCTCTGCAACACTGACAGAACTAAGAACAAAAACCCACAAATCCCACAGGAAAACATACAGATTAAATATGGCTCCCAATCAGAGATAACGAGCCGATCGGCTGACACTCGTTACCTCCGATTGGGAGTCAATGACCAAAACTAGAAATGAACCCAACAGAAAGGCAAACCTAGAAATACACACAACTGCCCAACATAACCAAACCAAAACCCAACAACACAAAATACACCCTGGCTCAAATACAAACGTCCCGGAGCCAGAGTGTCACAGTTACGATACCATTTATGTTACGTAGTCTGTCCACGAGAGATTAGGTTTAGGACAAAAACCCACACGGCCAAATACTGCGCTTTGAAATATTGGTTGAAGCTGACAAATTAGTTTTGAATAATGCCCCTCATTACAGTCGTGGGCTCGTAGGCTGATACTGTATGTGAAGTGAACAGATAGGTCAGTAGCTAAACTCATTTATCACAAATTCAAATTCATAGTTTTCCTGAATTATGAAAAGCAATTTGGAAGTGTTTACACCCTCTATAGCAATTATGGTTCAGATCCTGCTGATTAAGGCTCCATCCTGTTCTGGTTATCAGTCTGCCAAGCATGCACACCATGTACTGAAAAACAATCTGGCCTTAATGGCCACATGTACTCTTTATCTCTACCCTGTACAACCAGAAGAGGACTAGCCACCACTTAGAGACTGCTTCTTCTTTGGTTCCTTATTTCTAGGGTGGTCACTTAGCATCTACTTCTGCATTGCTTGCTCCTTGGGGTTTTAGGCTGGGTATCTGTAAAGCACTTTGTGACAATTGCTGATGTAAAAAGGGCTTTATAAAAACCAATTGGCTTGATTCAAGGGGCAATCAGCAGTTGCTACATTTTTGGATTTATAAATTAATGATATGTACCCATTGATTTTTGAAGAATATAATTTATAATAAGAACATCATAATTCAAACCAATGATGATGTTCTTTTCTACACAGATCATACACAATTATTGCCTGATGATCTTCCTTGATGTTTTCCTGAACTTTAAACCATACTTCCGATTGAAATACTGTCAAAAATATTGTCAGACTGATTTGTAATAGACTGTCATAGCGCCAAACAAATAAGTAAATATTGGCTGTTGATTACATCACTTTTTTCACATGGTGGGGTCACAAAAATGTTCTTATATCAAAGTGGGGTTGTGTGGCAAGAAAGTTTGGGAACCCCTGTTCTAGCAGTTCATGACAAACAGTGCCAGATACCATTACAAGCTAGTAGAAAATTACCTCATCACTGTCATGGCTAGATAGAATAAAGCTTATATCAAATTGATGTCAAAAGTGGAAATGTTTGTATTTTAGCTAACCCTAACCCGTTTTCCTAATCTTAAACTAATTATCCTAACCTGCTACATGAATTATCCTATCCTGCTGCATAACTTCTCCTAACCTTGCCTGATGACTCACCCTGAATTTAATTCCGCTGCTGTATCGATCGCTACATACAGTACATTCAGTCGGAATCTGCCATCCTATAAGTATTTTGTGTGACTTCAAAATGACGGGCGTTGTACAAAAGAAATTCATCAGCGATTGGTTTGTCTCTAACAAACTGGCCCTGGCCCAACCCATCGGTTTCTGGGACCAATTAGAACGGTCAGAATGTATTCGCATTCTAGAAATCGTAGGCCAAATCCAGACTCCTCATGGAGAAGAAATGTCAGTTTGGCTGGAGTGATGTGGAGTCATTTCTGGTCAATTCTGACATAACCTGTATACTATCTAGTCAAAACCCCACAACACAGCTAACCACTGATCGAAAAGTGAATTTTACAGTCTTTTGAGCAATATTATTTTTTACAAGTTTTAAGTTTGTTTTGTTTTATGACAGCAAGTCTTTATCAACAGCACAGTGTTTCAAGTTTGTTTTCTTTTGTCAAAATCCGTGTGGCGACTCAGATTGGTTGATTCTGAGATCCAAGCGACGCTGATTCTCCGATCCCAAAGAACGGCAAGTTACCAACACCCATTCGACTCGATAGGCGTGTGCAAGCTGCACTGCATACTGCTTCATCCTTCATCCATTCATCCTTTCCATCTGGAACACGCTCCTTCATCAGGGGTTAGAACCAAAATTATTTTCCAATCGTTTCGTTCTGAACAGAACCCAAAAAAAATGTTGTTCCGTTCACTGTTCCGACCAGCAAAATAAAGTTCTGAACCGGTTCTAACCGCAAAAAAGTTACGGTTTACATCGTTCATTCCTGTTACTTTTTAAACCTCTGAAAGATTGAATCCTGCTACACCGGCTCCGACGCTTCTCGGATGTGGCAGGGCTTACAAACTATTACGGACTACAAAGGGAAACCCAGCTGCGAGCTGCCCAGTGACGTGAGCCTACCAGACGGTCTAAATGCCTTTTATGCTCGCTTCGAGGCAAGCAACACTGAAGCATGCATGAGAGCACCAGCTGTTACGGATGACTGTGTGATCACGCTCTCCGTAGCCGATGTGAGCAAGACCTTTTAACAGGTCAACATTCACAAGGCCGCGGGGCTAGACGGATTACCAGGACGTGTACTCAGAGCATGCGCGGACGTACTGGCAAGTGTCTTCACCGAGATTTCCAGCCTCTCCCTGACCGAGTCTGTAATACCTACATGTTTCAAGCAGACCACCATTGTCCCTGTGCCCTAGAAAGCGAAGGTAACCTGCCTAAATGACTACCGCCCCATAGCACTCACATCGGTAGCCATGAAGTGCTTTGAAAGGCTGGTCATAGCTCACATCAACACCATCATCCCAGAAACCCTAGACCCACTCCAATTTGCATACCGCCCCAACAGATCCACAGATGACGCAATCTCAATCGCACTCCACACTGCCCTTTCCCACCTGGACAAAAGGAACACCTATGTGAGAATGCTGTTCATTGACTACAGCTCAGCATTCAACACCATAGTGCCCACAAAGCTCATCACTAAGCTAAGGACCCTGGGACTAAACACCTCTCTCTGCAACTGGATCCTGGACTTCCTGACGTGCCGCACCCAGGTGGTAAGGGTAGGCAACAACTCATCTGCCACGTAAATCCTCAACATGGGGGCCCCTCAGGGGTGCGTGCTCAGTCCCCTCCTGTACTCCCTGTTCACCAACGACTGCGTGGCCAAGCACGACTCCAACACCATCATTAAGTTTGCTGATGACACAACGGTGGTAGGCCTGATCACCGACAACGATGAGACAGCCTATAGGGAGGAGGTCAGAGACCTGGCAGTGTGGTGCCAGGACAACGACCTCTCCCTCAACATGAGCAAGACAAAGGAGATGATTGTGGACTACAGGAAAAGGAGGGCTGAACACACCCACATTCACATCAACAGTGCTGTAGTGGAGCGGGTCGAGAGTTTCAAGTTCCTTGGTGTCCACATCACCAACAAACTATCATGGTCCAAACACACCAAGAAAGTCGTGAAGAGGGCACGACAATGCCTTTTCCCCCTCAGGAGACTGAACAGATTTGGCATGGGTCCCCAGATCCTCAAAAAGTTCTATAGCTGCACCATCGAGAGCATCCTGACCGGATGCATCACTGCCTGGTATGGCAACTGCTCGGCATCCGACCGTAAGGCGCTACAGAGTGTAGTGCGTACGGCCCGGTACTTCACTGGGGCCAAGCTTCCTGCCATCCAGGACCTACAGTGAGGGAAAAAAAGTATTTGATCCCCTGCTGATTTTGTACGTTTGCCCACTGACAAAGAAATTATCAGTCTATAATTTTATTGGTAGGTTTATTTGAACAGTGAGAGACAGAATAACAACAACAAAATCCAGAAAAACGCATCTCAAAAATGTTATACATTGATTTGCATTTTAATAAGGGAAATAAGTATTTGACCCCCTCTCAATCAGAAAGATTTCTGGCTCCCAGGTGTCTTTTATACAGGTAACGAGCTGAGATTAGGAGCACACTCTTAAAGGGAGTGCTCCTAATCTCAGTTTGTTACCTGTATAAAAGACACCTGTCCACATAAGCAATCAATCAATCAAATTCCAAACTCTCCACCATTGCCATCACCAAAGAGCTCTCCAATGATGTCAGGGACAAGATTGTAGACCTACACAAGGCTGGAATGGGCTACGAAACCATCGCCAAGCAGCTTGGTGAGAAGGTGACAACAGTTGGTGCGATTATTTGCAAATGGAAGAAACACAAAAGAACTGTCAATCTCCCTCGGCCTGGGGCTCCATGCAAGATCTCACCTTGTGGAGTTGCAATGATCATGAGAACGGTGAGGAATCAGCCCAGAACTACACAGGAGGATCT